AATTTTCGGACCTTAGATTGGTAAAAGTAAAGTGCCGAATACAATGAAGTATTTACAAAAACTTGCAAACTTCAGAAAACTTCCGAAACCTTAGGAAAACTCAGGAAAACTACAGAAAACTTAGAAAAACTTCAGCAAACTTAGGAAATTTAGGAAAACTTCAGAAAACTTAGGAAAACTTCCTAAAACTTTCGAAAACTTAGGAAAACTTCAGCAAACTTCCGAAAACTTCGGAAAACATAGCTTTATTTAGCTTTACATGACAAAGTTGTCAAACTGCTTAGCTATCTGCAAACGGCCGCGCGACGAGACTGAACTCTCAAAAGGTGGCCTTGCTTCTTGGGTCGCACTACTTGGTGCCGAGACCGCACGTTTGCGCTTCAGAGGATGGCCAGTTCGGTACGACAAAAATAACTTGTTCGCGCATGACTTGCTTTTTTCCAACGATTTTTTGGGGGGAGCAACTCCTCGAACAGCATTAGCTGCGACCTGACGCGTTTCGTCAACCACGTCAATTCGCTCTGGAGGGGAAGTGTACTGGGGCATCGTGAATGGCTCAAGGCCTCCAGAGTAGCCAGATTGACGGAGGCCATCAACCCATGTTGACAAATTAGCCATAAATAGGTGGTACGTGTGTGGGGTACTCGCCACTGCATTTTCTATGCGAGTGCATATATCACGAATTTTCATGATTCGTTTACCTGTGGTCGCCGGCACTTTTACTTTTTCGTATTTCTGCATCGAGACGCCGCGAGCAATTGCGGGGGTGTTGGAGGTTGAATTTAGTACAGAATTCGAGGCTTCACTTGGTCGAGCCGCTGGATCGTTGATGTTGAGCCGACACAATGCACTTGAATACATCGGGTGGTTGTGACGATCGTAGGGGTTAGACGCACAAAAGTTACGAAGGTCCGGAGGTTCGGACTTCAGGACCGGATACTCTCGGCTTGGCCACGAAGAACACAGGAAGAAAGGAGTAGATCCAATGTTAGGCAAATGTAAAAGTGAAGTATCTAAAAGCTAGATAGGGCTGATGACCTTTGGGGAAAGGTCCTGTAGAATAAAAGGCAAGACGGTCGAATTCGAAGGTAGTCGGTCCGTCGAATAATATACCTATGCGATGGCAGTACCACGATGTGGTATAGTAAGTAGTACAAGCCCATGCTCCAGCTCCGTCACAAGTCCCGCGGCAAAGTTTCGACCCTCTAGTCGAATTAGATATGAATTGACGGAGTTGGGTAGGTGGTGTCGGGTAGGTCAAAAAGGGTAAAAGGTCCAGTTTGCACGTAGCCGGTTTTCGTCGCTGACAACCGACAAAGCCGAGGATAGTGGTGCAGATGGAGGAGCCGGAAGGAGGTCGCGTGAAAATGAGTGGTTATGGAGCACGGTACGACGAGGCCACGACAAAACGTACGACGGCACTCGGGACGAGGTGCTGGTAGTCTCAGACTGGACGGACATAATATCGCAGACTGGGCAGATGTTTGGACAAAAAAATGTCGGAAAACAAGGGAATAGTCGGTCAAAGTAGTCCGTCGGACAACAGTCTTCAGACGGGAACTGACTGTAGTCTCCATCCATCACTCTGCCAGGCAACCAATCAGAGGCGACCATGAGTTGACTTCGGCCATTTGATAGGATCGTCGATATGTGGTTCTTTGGATAGGGCATTTTCCAACTTACGCGCCATGGTTCCTACGTCAGGGGAAGCCGGGAAGAAGAAGCGGTCGTCGTTGTTGTCGAGGTAGTTTAGAACTGAACCAGCGTCTGGGGTTCCACGTCGAGGTCTTTGTACCGTTTCGAACGCCGAAGTAGTAGCAATCCCATGTCCATTCGTCAAGATGTTTCAAAGTCGTCCACATAAGATCGGTATGCGGCCAGTTTGGAGTCGGCTGTCCAGTACTTAAGACAGTCGGCATGTTCGACCAAGTACTCCTTCTCGCGGGAGTTGGGTAGACGTCGCAGGTCGACTACCCGGAAAATCGGCGACGAGGTAGATGAGTAAGCAACGTCGTCATCTGGAAAGGACACTCGTTCCACGAAGCTGGACTAGGGTAGGCAGTCGATCGACAATTCGTCGGAAGCTTCGTCAGCTTCGGGGATCTCGTCGTCGAGCAGTCGTGAATAGTAGCCCCGAAATGGCTTGAGTCGGTCGACGTTCACAGTTACCATCTTGTCAGGGTGTGATGGTATGTCGATCTTGTACGTGTTTGGTCCCATTTTGCGTTCGACTCGGAAGGGTCCATGCCAATGCGTGGCTAGCTTAGTCGTCCGATGATCGTCTGGTCGAGTCGACTTGGCGAAGTATTTGTAGACCCAAACAGCAGTCTGTTCGCCAAACTCGATGGGTTTTTGGTTAGCCTTAGTCCTTGCACTCTTGTTTTGACCGTTGATCAGTTGCTGTTCCATGAGGTTTCGTGTCTCTTTCCAAGATGCAGCCAGACGACGCTTATATTGGGGCAAGTCGTCGGACTTCCAGGAGGGCTCGGCGTTCATAAATGCCAAGTCCAACGTCAGCGTGGGGTCTCGTCCAAAGAGGCAAAAGTAGGGGGAGTCTCCAAGAGTTTCGTGGTGCGATGTGCGATACGCAAAGAGCAGACGCGGTAGATAGGTGTCCCAGTCCGTCTGATGGTCATTCACATAGATCTTGAGCATCTGAATGATCGTATGGTTGAACCGTTCGACTAGGCCTTGTCCTTGAGGTTGGTAGGCCGCAGACGCCAGCTTGTTGATGCCTAGCGTGGCTGGCATACATCGTCGAGGCCAGTTCGGAGACGAAGTTTGATCCGCGGTCGGAGAGCAGACAGTCAGGCACACCGAATCGGCAGAGGACTTCATCGATAAAGACACGACTGAAGGTAGACGTCTTCAGGTCTGGTACTGGAATGGCTTCGACCCATCAGGTGAAGTAGTCGGCAAAGACCAAGATGTATTTGTTGCCATTGTCGGACATGGGTAAGGGACCAAGCGCGTCTACCACGACAAAGGCGAATGGTCCGCGCAAGGAGTATACTGGCATCCGTTGCATCGGACCTTTTTTCCATGGACGTCCGCCTTTGGCGCAATTGCAGTCCAGACATTTCGAGACGTAGTCTTTGCAATCCTGTTGCCAGTCTAACCAGTAGGCCGTTCGTCTGAGGCGTTCTCGAGTCTTCATGAAGCCGAGGTGTCCAGCCAAGGAGGACGCACTGGAAGCATAACGCACTTCTTCTACGAGCGTGTAAGGTATGACCGGAACCAGGACAAGCTCGGGATTTCGAAGGGGTGTCTTGAAGGTGATGTATCAGCAGACGATGCTTTATCTGTCGACGAACTGATGACTGTTTCGAACGACCAGTTTGAGTAGGTGAGGGTCCAAGGGCACAGCGCCTTCGTCTAGGTATGCCCACAACGCTACGATCCAAGTGTCGTTGTACAGTCCGGGCGAAGGTCGACCCCGTCGGTCGTACAAGTCAATGGGCTGGGGGGCTTTGATTGAGGTTGGTTCTGGTAGTCTTGGCTGTGTGTAGTTTGCTTCGGACGAAGGCGACCTGGTTCGACTAGATTCTTTCCCCGTCGTGAGGTCTGGGTCAGTCTGAGCCAGACGTCTCATACTTCTCGTCTGGATCGGACAAACTGGTAGACGTGATAACCCGTCAGCAGCGCCATTGAGTTCGCCTGCTCGGTGTATCACGGTGTAGTCTAGTCCTTGTATTTCCATCGCCCACCTGGCTAGTTTGTGGTTGCCTGATCGGGATCCTTGGTTGAAGAGCCAAGTGAGAGCTTCATGGTCGGTGTAGATGGTGAATTGTCGCCGGTCAACTTGCTGCAAGTGGTGCCGGTGACACGATGGAAGCCGCTTCTTCATTCGTTACAGCCATCCATACCACATCGCTCCGAAGTTCTGGTTCTCACCGATGGGATTTCAAGTCCACGGAGTGCATTCACGCTAACGTTCCATACATAATATGGACCCTACTTATTAACTACTCAGAGCTCGACTTGTTCACAATAACTACGCAAAGTATGCTGAAATGTTATTCGCAGTTTCGTATTTACCTTGTAGTTGGTGTGTGTGCAAATGTATTTCATTTATAATATTCTCCAGTCAGGTCGAAAACACTAGTTCTCGCTCGCTTGGGTAGTTACACTTCGACTCCTGCTGTGACGCATTCGACACATGGCATTTCAAACGCCCCAGATAAGCCAATCACAGATAAAATAGTTTGGCTATTCCATTTAAATGGATATTCAGCCAATCAAACAAGGGCTTGCTACTTCGCTACAAATGTGATCTGATCTATTATATTTTGATAGAGTTGCACTGACCCGATTTGACTGCAAAGCACTGTAATCGCTAGAGGGTGGCGGATCTGACACAGTCGCGATACGAGCATGAGCTGGCTGAAGCACGTTCGGTCTTCGAAGCGCAGAAAGGTGACATGCTTCGAGAGGCAGAGAAGGAGAAGATGCATTGAACGATCGAGTGCCAACATCTCAAGAACGAGCTGCTCGATGCGTCGGAGGCGATAGCGCGTAAGTTTCGTCATGACACGGACGAGTTGTTATGCAGCCTGTACTTGAGGGACCAGAGCCTCGCGTACCTCGAACGAGACTTCACGAAGATAACTGCCTGGGCTGTGCCGTGCCGCGACGCAGCTCCGTGTGTGCTTCGAACGCTGACGAGAAACGCCGTCTGGATGCCCTTGTGGGGGGCTGCTAGAGATGGAGATCCTTTGGAGGAAGAATCGCGCGAAAGTGAAGCCAACGTCGATTTATCGACGCAGACGAGCGCTAGAGTTTACAGGCGGACCTTGCGCAAGTCAATGACCAAGTCGACGGATCCCGCATGGGCTGCTCTGCAGACGAAGAGGCATTTCCTCGAGGAGACGACCGAAGGATTGATCGCGCTCCACCTGTGGAAACTCTATTACTCTGACCTCAATTGCCGGCATGATCAAGAATGATCACCCCACGGTCATTACTTCCGCACGCCGACCAAATTCGCTACAAAACTCGGGCCACATCAGTGAAACAACGTGATGGCATTCTACGGACTACAGGCTGTGAGTTGCACTGGAAGAGGATGTTACTGGATCGAACTCTGATCCAGCACTGAAACAGTGATACCAGTACCCCAGCCAAGACAGCTTTTTACTGCGTGCTTTTACCAGTTGGCTCGACTAGTGTTTGGCGAAATGCTAGTCATCGCTTTCAGTTACCAATTGAACCGCCGCGTAATACTAAAGAGCCAACGTACTGGTCAAGTTGTATGCCTGTTCAAGAAGAATGATTGTGCGGACCAGCTATTGTGAGTTCTAGTCGAATTTTCCATGCTCGATTGGTTCAATCAATCTGGAGGGTGATTTCAGAACCAATCCAAACCTCTGTAATATGATAATATATAAATATAGAGAGGTTCTATGACGTGTTTGAGAGAAGGTGCAATTCAAATTTTGCCGACAGAAGTGGCTCGCCACGAACGACGATACATCCATGGTGGCAACCCCTCAGCGAACACATGATGCGGTGTACACGCTTGAAGTCACTTTGAGCTTCATCGAGATATGCCACTGGGTGGCGGTCGCAGAACTCGAAGAGCCACTCTCGCAGTGGGGTGGTGAACTTCTTGTCGGCAGCGGTGGTCGCTCGTTCGTACCCGCCAGTTTTTCGTAGACCTTGACCCAGTTGCCAATGGTATGTTCGGACTTGTTGAAAACGAGTGCAAGGTGTCTGCG